CTTTTCCTCTTATTTAATTTGACGCTGAGGTTCTGTTAACGAGTAGGACCGGGACGGGGGATTGTTTGGGTCTGGCTTGTAAAGAGGCGAGGTGGGTTGCCCTCTCCTGCTCCCTCTGAGGTTAAGTGACTGTTTAGTGATGCTAACGAGCTGAGAGGGTGAAATAAAACAGGCAAAGGTGTGGCGGCTTTTTAGCGCTAACCAGGCTAATCATCTGGGTTTGACTTCATTTGAGGAACAAGACAGCCAAGAAGGAATAATCATCATGGGTTTCTGACCATTATTTAAAGTGTTAAGGCATGATATTGCATCTCTGTAGCATTCCATGAATTCCATGGATGTAGTGCTTAGCATCCAATTATGCTCATTGAAAAGCACTGTGAGTGTGAACCAGGGTTGATTAACTAAAGCTAGAAATGTAAAAAAAAATAAAAAAGTAACATGAAATAAAATAAATGTTAACTGAAATAAAATATAAAAACATTTTTCACTTTTATTTTGTTGATGTACTAAAATAACTGAATAATAAAATAACTGAATAATAACTGAAATAAAAATTAATAAAAACAAAATGAAAAAAATAATAAAAATAAAACAGAATTATAGAATAAAAAAGCAATACAAATAATATATATATATTTATTTTATTTAATAAATAATATATACATAAACTAACAATAAAATAGCACTGTATCAATGATACTAAAATAACACTGTGAAAAACACCACAATGCTGCAATTCCTGGTAGACAACCCAACTTGCCCAGTTTCAGGGCATGTTAATGAATTATGGTTAACACTAATCGCTGTTGATCATCATAAATTGTAATTGTGAAAATTTACATTGACTTCACATTTCAGTTTGTATGCATCATTTGTCCTGTTATTAAAAAACAGTTGCTTGGAATAAAAAACTACTTATCCCTACCTAAAAACATAACCAACATACTCCCAACTTGATCAAGATGGTCTGTTAGCTGTTTTAGAGGGGTTCGGTCACTTTTTTTTTTAGCTAGTTAGTTTGGGAGACCAGCTTCAGATCATCTAAAGACCAGCTTGGCCAGGCTGGGAGACCATCTTAAAACAGCTAAGATCAGTTTCTTAACAGGGATTTTGCTGGTTTATGAGATGATATTCTTGCAGCAACAATGACTATTATTACTACAATTTTTTTCTTTGTTGTAGTAGCACTAAAACATTGTTGGGAAGTGAAATAAAGAAAAATTAAATGTATGTTTTTATGTTTTTTTCGTGCTGGTGAGATTAGCCTTCAACTTGTGCTTCAAACAGTGGGAGAGTGCGCAGCTTTCCTGTGCAATCTGATATATATAGGGCCGTGCCCTTTGAGGGTGGATAAGGTTTGTTTGTTCAGTGACAGTTTATTTTACTCTTGAAAACCCTCTCAATTCACTAAAACCATTCATGGTGTCAGATGTCAGCTTTGCTTTTGCAAGGTCAAGTTAAGCTGGGCCCCGGGGCCCTAGAGGAACATATGTGTGAGACACGGGTTTTATGTGTGAAAGCCCTATTCAGGATTTCATGAGTCTGTTGTGTAGATGAACTTAGACGTGGGTTCAAAGAAAGCCTTGCAATCCTATAGTTGTTTACTGAAATTAGACTGAAGATGTTTCTTTTGTAAGCTGTAGTGTACAATATCTATTTTAGGCTCAAAGGTAGCTGAAATTTTTTTTATTTGTTGCAGTAAAATTAAAATGAAAGATTTTAGCTGTTTTATGGATAGACTTTAGCAGATTTTTAGTAGATATTTAAATAAAATGAAATATAAAATAGAATATAAAAACATAATTATAATGAAATATATATATAATATAGTTTGTATAATATATATATATATATATATATACATAAAAATATATATAAATATAATTAATGTTACACAAGCACACACACAAACAAATGCACCATATATTTACAACTTAAATTTTTTTTCAACTTTAAATGCATATATTTACAACTCTACTTGTGATTAATTTCAAAAATAAGATATAAAATTATTTTAACTGATATAAAATATTACATTTTTCCATTAAAAAAAAAACTACTAAAGTACTGCATGCATATCGGTTGCTACTAACAAGATAAGACTTGACGTAGTTTGGGTATTACCTGATATCAATCCTTAAATGTTTTTTGGAAGCATGAGGGAGAATACAAATAGGGGGATGATTTTCAAAGGCATGGCACGTTTAGTCTTCAAAGTCCGCCTTTTTGCTAAAATGAGAGCGGTGACACAGGGGCCAGTGGGCATCCCTCATCGCCGTCTGTCTCTGAGCTTATCATCGTGACACTTATCTCACACATGAATGTACTGTATGGGAGGAATAAAAACAGACTTTGGAATCAATGAGGGATGAGGATCAACGAGTCGTATCCAAGCGTTGGCCGGGTCATTAAAATCCTGATGTGATGATGTGCCAGATTGTGTGCAGACGCGATTATGTGTCTGCATTGGCTCTGGCGGTTTATGAGCTGCGGGTGACTCTTGCAGCTTTGGAATCAAAATTCAGTTTGTCTCTTTCACTTTGTATCGTTACATTTTTCTTTTCTCTTTGGAGTGTTACAAGCTCTTGGTGCATAAAGAAGATCTGTAAAGTTGCAAAGACTAAAGTCTCAAATCCAAAGAGATATTCTTTATAAAAGTTAAGTCAACCACGCCTACCTAAAACGGCTCGTTCTAACACGCCCCCACATATCTACATCACTATGTGGAAATATTAGCATAATGCCGCCCAAAAGTTCGCGCAGAGAAAGAAGGCGTAACTTTTATTCTCGCTGTAGTATTGTTGTTGCCGGCGCCGCCATGTCGTGAAGGCACTGTGTGTTTCGTTGTGAAAGCGAAACTATTTTGTTTGGTCTTCCAAAAGAGGACGATATCCACTTCGTCATGCCTGGAGCTGATCCGTGCTGCATCAACTTCGCGCTGTGGATCGCCGGATTGGCCGGAGTCGTCACATGTGGTTGCCGCAAACCTGCCGGCCGCTCCTTCGTCGAATCCGCTAGCCTCCGCTCACTTTTATAATGGGTTTGAATGTTTTTGTCTAGTCGCTCCGGCCGGACAGGGCATCACATTATGGTAGGGCCGTAACATTTCCGTCACACACTTGAGGTATTCGGCCAATCTTGGCCGGAGTCGTCACATGTGGTTGCCGCAAACCTGCCGGCCACTCCTTCGTCGAATCCGCCAGCCGCCGCTCACTCTATCCCCGGCCTCTGCTCACGTTAGCCCTCCGGCCGTTCCTCACTCTAGCCCCTGGCCTCTGCTCACCTCTAGCCCTCCGGCCGTTCCTCACTCTAGCCCCCCGGCCGTTCCTCACTCTAGCCCTCCGGCCGTTCCTCACTCTAGCCCCCCGGCCGTATCACAGCACACCTCGCTTTTCAGAACGATGAGCTTTGTAATTGACGCGTTTCAGAAAGGCGAGGCATAGAGGAGAAACAATAATGCACAGTATGTGGAAAATAATGTGTTTTTTGAACCTTAAACCGCATAAACACATTTCATTACACCAAATACACAAAATAATGTTCTTTTTAGCAACATCATATGACCCCTTTAGTTGACATAATTTAGCTTGAAAGCTGAGAACGTTTTACGTCTAAGCACATCATATAACTGAAACAAATAAGAGGATGGAAAATGTAGTCTTTTTTATGATGTCTGAATGGAACTGTCTGTTTTACGTGGTTCATTCTTCTGCTAATGTAATGTACTCAATCATTTTCTAATGATGCAGTGAATGAATACTGAATGTTTGAGGTCAGTGACTTTTTAGTTTTTAAAAATGTTATGAGCCTCATCCATTCCTTATTCGTCTCGTGAATGTAATGTTGGTGGTTTGGCCTGGTTTCATCATATGTTTTCAATATTACTGATTCTGTTCCTTGCATAAGAAAGGAATATTGCTCTGTCAAGGTCTGTCAATCTACAAAACAGACTAGTTTCATTTGTTATTAGATATTGAGATATTCTTCTCCCCTTGTTGGAACACGTGTTTTGCATTTGATGCCAAACTGAAGGTTGTTACAGGTGATGTAACACATTTCCCTTGCTAAATCTTCACTAGCTGCTTTCTGTTCTGGAGTTTCCTCAGAATTCTCAGAGAACTCAGAAAAAAAGTTAGAATTACAAGATATAAACTCTGAAGTATGACTTTTTTTTCTTGCAATATCTTGCAAATACATAAGACTTGTGAGGAAAAATGTCTGAATTTTGAGATGAAACATTGCAATTACCTTTTTTTTCATTATCCCACAGTGTAAACAAGCTTTCATACTATGTTGTTCAGAAAACTGAATCTAAATTTCATAATGTCCACAGATTTGGAAACTCATTCCACCTGTTGATACTGAGGGATTATCACTGTAGGCACAAAGCTCCTTACAAAAAAATTGGATCCAGTCGTCTGATGTTTCCCAATATTAGTCATCATCCATTGCAACTTTGTATATCAGTGTGCTCTTTATGGAAATTGGCACTACTTTCATGTTTCTCGCAGACTGGCTCATTTTATCCTAAATAATTAAATAATAATAAAATAAATAAATAACTCTAATCAATATTTTGAGTGCATTTATTTGGTAAGTAGCAATCTTGTAAGTGGGATATTACTCAGTCGGTACAGCGATGAATGTTTCCAGGATCTTGTAGAAATAATATACTGCAGCAGAATGCAATATTTTCATCACATTCTCATCATGAAAAGTTTATCATGGGAAGCACAGATCACTTTGCTTATTTTGCGTGTAGTTTCATCCAGAATTTTCAGAGGTCACATAAAAATGAAAATAAAATATGGCTGGTGACAAGGATGAATGATGGTGGTAATAATCTAATTCAAATAAGGGATCAAATAAATGTCTATTGTCACCCCTAATTCCTGCTATTGTGTCTTTATTGCAACATTAGATAGGTTTTTTTGCTATTCAAGGAACTAATAACGTCCAAGATTTGAGTGTTGTGTTGAATACAGGATTTAATGGAGAAGAACCAGATCTGATCAATCTTTCTCATTCTTTTCTCAGGGTTATCCATGCAGCAGTGATAAAGAGTGCACAGTGGGAACGTACTGCCACAGTCCTCAACACTCCCCGTCCCGCTGCCTCACCTGCCGCAGGAGAAAGAAGCGCTGCCACAGAGACAGCATGTGCTGCCCTGGCAACCGCTGCAGCAACTGTACGCTCCTGATTGATCACTGATAGACATCGTTTCCCATACTAACTCAAAGAAAGTTATAATGGATCTCTTCTGTCTTTCTTCAGACATCTGCATCCCCATCTCAGAGCGCGCCCTGTCCAAGTCACCTATGGAGGAGCACAACAAGCTTTCCATCAAAGAAAAAGGCTGGAGGAGGAATGGCAAAACTCAGACCAAGATCTCTCTCAAAGGTGAGCAACTGACTAAATGGAGAACCACAATTTGTGAAATTGCAGATCTGCAGGGTTAGAGAGAGCATTGACTCGAGCAGACTTTTGCCCTGCGGGATAAAGCCTAGTCGGGTTTGCAGCAGAAGAACCATCAACCAATGATAAACTAGATAATCTCTGAGAAAAAAAAAATGCACAGAATATCAGTTCGAAAAGGCTGTTGAGAAAACAAAAAATATTAGCAGAAATGTGGGTTTATAATAAGGTCCACATACTACAACTATTCATGGTTAGTTCAGTCAGCTCAGGTCCTTTAAATAATGTTAACAGATACAACTTTTAATTTTTGTATTGTATGAACCTTTTGACAGACTGTGATGATGTTTTCCCAGTTATTAACATCTTAAATGTACCAAAGTGTTAAATATTTTCATTTTTATAAACAATTTAATTAACATTTATAAGACTTTACTAGTGTTTTATTGTGTGCGTGTTTCTAACACAATAGCAGAGATGGCAAATTTGACATCTTTCTCTCTTTTGACCGATGTAATCAATCTCTCAATATTTTTTTTTCTCTTTTCATGGAAACACTGTAATTGATTTCTTTTTCCCTGGCTACTGGGGCAAATGGGAATGCAAAAATTATATTTGCGAGATTACCCAACTATGATGACGTCTTGAGAACTCCAGAACTATAAAAAAGGGTCCATTAGTAAATATTTAAAATAATATTGAATCCAAAGTTCTGTCAAGAAATTCTAGTTGTCGCAGTCTGATAGGTCAAACTCAATTTGACATGATGACTTCATCACAACGCACAGCTGATTGGTTCTTTTTGTATCAGCAGCCAATCAGCTCGCTGCTCAACATTCAATAGTGCTTGCTGTAGCAGTTGCACTGCGCTTCAGAAACCCTCCACCTTCCCCAGCTCCACCTGTATAGATCTGCCACAGGGTGATCATGTAACCTATGTATGTTTTTTTTTTCATATATGTTATGTCCAGCAGCAGTATTTCTTACAGCAGCATGTCTGTGGATGTATTAGCGGTAGCAAGTCTCTGTACATAGCAAATCTATTCCCCCAAGACCAAACACATTAACATTGTCAAGTAATTTACCATGCTAAACCCTCCAAAAGTAGTCATGATAGAACTACATTTAGTGTTAGTTCATGTTGATTAACTATTATTAACTAATTGAACCTTCCTACAAAGTGTTTAGACTTTAGCTTTCGGAATAATGATGCCTCTAACCTGACACACTTTCCAGTGATTAATTTTTTTCCTCGAAAGCGCTCACAGTGTACCCTGGTTTCAGGAAGTTACATATAATCTCAAGCAATGTGATTGTAGCATGGGATTTTCTGTCTAGTTTTGTGTGCTGTATGCATCAGACAGTCAGTCAATGTACCTTGGGCGGTCTAAGACTGTTTCATATTCGTACTCACTTATGAACTATGTCTGCAATGAGTTGATTCACTGGATGTGGTTGCATGCATGTGTTGAGGGGAACGGCGGGCCACAAATTTGGCTGTAACTACACGCAGCTCGTATATCTTGAAGATTTAACCACAGCGGGAGGCCTGTGAAGGAAGGATCACAATGCAGTGCTGTTCCCACACCTCTGTATTCTCGCCTCAGTAACATGCATGCTGACGGCACAGTCACGCTCAAACATAAATGAAACCACACGAGATTTAGACGGAGCCATTTGAGGCACCCTAAATGTACAGACTGTTATTTAGAAGAAATTATGAACTTTTCCTTTTATCAATCAATCCATCAATCAATCTTTTTTATTTATTTATTGTATATTTTGTAGTAAATGTATTTATTTGTTTGTTTGATTGATTGATTGATTTGATGAATTCATTCATTGTTAAAAAATCCCACAAACCAATATGGAAGATGCACGAGACTGTGGTTTTGTTACAGGAAGTCTACTTTTTGTGTTTCATGGTGAATTGTTTCAAAAAAAGAAAAACTTGCATGACTAAGTAATATTTATATACATAATAAATATTTGCTTCACTAATTATCCCTTTGAAGCGTAAAGCAGACCATTAGTCAAGCATATCAGGTTCCTTTCAAATGGGCCAAATTTCTTAATATATCGGGAAATGATTTGCTCAAATTAGGGGCCCCAACACTGTTTCTGTATATAGGCCTCGTAATGCAATTGAAATGAGTATAATGGAGTACAGAAAATGCTTTAGTGTTTTATAAGTAAGCCAAAACAACATATGGAGCGTTTTTTTTTTTTGCACTTTACAAAAGTACCTCAACAGACAACATACAGTGCCATGTTATGTCTAGAAGACATTTGTCAAAAATATTCACCTTGAAATGTAGCTTATAACACCAAACTTAATTTAACACAAAATCACACTACAACATTCAATTTGTAGAAAAAAACCTTGCGCTCTTTTCAGCCTGTACTAAGTGAACACCAACCATTGGAAAATTGTTTTGCATTTGTTTGTAAGTAGATGTATATCAGTAACAGTGACGTATTTGGTTGCACTTTATTTTCTGATTTCACTTGAACGTTGTGGAGAATATTTGCATGAGACATAAAAAGATGAAGCATGCATAAGAGTTGTACACATTGCCACCATATGTCATCTTTGACTGGGTCCTTCCATTTGATGATGGAGGGGTAATACAGTCACAAAGTAATGGAGGTAGCACAGGAAGTAGAAACACAAAAAAAATATGATTGGGGAATGGAGGAGAGTGAATTTCCATTTCATGCCAATTTTAATGTAACAAACTTGTAGTGCTTTTAAGGATTGGTAAGGGAAGATCAAATAAACTCAGACAGGCTAGTTCATTTGAAAGTGAAAATCATAAAAAAAATAGCAAAAAATAATTATCTGCAAATAAAATCTTTTGTATATAATATGAACTATATATGGAACATTTAATCAGAAAATATTTGTTTACAAAGTAACTAGCCTTAAAGGATATAGTTCACCCAAAAATACAAATTTTGTCATCATTTATTCACCCTGATGTCATTCCAAACCTGTATGGGTTTCTTTCTTATGTTGAACATCAGAAGATATTTTGAAGAATGCTGGTAATCAAACAGTTGAAGGTTGACTTCCATTGACTTCAATAGTATTTATTTCCCCACTATGGACGTCAATGGGGACCAACAACTGTTTGATTCTTCACAATTCTTCAAAATATCTTCTCTTGTGTTCAACAACATAAGAAAGAAACTCATACAGGTTTGAAACAACATGAGGGTCATAAGTAAATGATGACAAAATGTTCATTTTTGGGTGAACTATTCCTTTACGTTCTATGGATTCTATGAATTTATGTATCTGGCAGATGCTTTTATCCAAAGCATTTTACACTGCATGCATTTCCATAACCTTGTCATCATTAGTGTTCCGCTCTTCTGTTTGAGTAACAGAAATGCCATTGCCTTCTTCTTTGACGTGCAGGTCACGAGGGCGACCCTTGTCTGCGATCGTCCGACTGCTCGGAGGGCTACTGCTGCGCTCGCCACTTCTGGACGAAAATCTGCAAGCCTGTGCTGCGGCAGGGCGAAGTCTGCACCAAACAGCGCAAGAAAGGTTCCCACAGCCTGGAGATCTTCCAGCGCTGTGACTGCGCCAAAGGACTTGCCTGCAAGGTATGGAAAGATGCCACCTCCTTCTCCAGGTCCAGGCTGCACGTGTGCCAGAGGATCTGAGACGGGAGGCCCCTGCAAAACAAGCTGCACCTTGGGGCCCCTGCGTCCCGCTGGGAGAGGAGTGGACGAGGTCTCCTTTCTCCAGGACTTACTCAGCTGTGATAAAGAGAGAAAGGGTGAGATTCAGGTGAATGTGTGCCAGAACAGGGTGGGTTTGGGATGGGAATGAACTGATGTGGTGGGATGCCCAGTCGTAGCTGTTGAGGAAGCACTCCAGGCCTCTTTTCAAGATTATTTGGTGGAGTTTTATTGATCTACAAGCCATATTTATCAGTGATTTACCGTTTGATGCAAGCGCTGGCATTATTTCAGTATGTCCGTGCTGTCAGTTTAGTATCTTGTGATGCTGAATGCTCTGATTTGGTTTCTATTTTTTCACTATATATTTCATGCACATATGAGTTTTTCACTGCATAACCACTAAAATATTAACAAGGTTGTTTTTTGATTACATTATCATCACAGACTTTGGGTCTCGTTCACTAATAATTGTCTGAAAACAAACAGCAATTTTCATTTTTAGTTGACTTTTTGATCCCTTCCTAAAGTGCACTTTGAGTTTGCTTGTATTAAAACAAATGATCCTATGTGTAACACCAGAACAGAAGAACAGTAGTATGTTTTCAAGGTAGCCACACACTAGTAATGCATTTGTCTGAGAAATATGATCATTTTATTCAATAGATAACATTTTTATTATGTCAAAAATGCTAAATCGGTTCTGATTATCAAGGGAAGTTGTTTACAGTGCGGTTCAGTGAATGTGCAGATGCTTTATGACATTATCATATTCCATGCTTTTTATTCTGTAAAATTCCACACCGTCTATTAGCTAGAATAAAAATAATAATAATAAAAAAACTAATAAGCTCTTATATTGTAAATAAAATGCAAAATTTTCAAAAATGTATTTAAGAAACAGTTGTATATCATGTATATATTGGTAAAAAGGAACAGACGGGGACGTGGATAAAGTAGCATAAAGCCTTTTTTACTTTCAGCTTATTGTTTGTCATAGCATGGTGTGGTTCCATTTTCCTCAAGCTCTGTTTTTACACCGCAGATATGAAAATCCCCACGCAGAACTCTTTCTATTAAATTATTTTCAAAACACATTTCTTCTTTGCAGAGCTCATGCTGTGTATTTGTTTAATGTCTGATTTCCTGGGTTAGTCCTTACTTTGTTCCTGTTGTAACAGTGCTGTTATGTCTCATTGTGTATTTACAGTGATTTAAACAGATTAAAGAATGTATTTTGTATTACAAGCATTTGGCTGCTCTCATATTTTCAGCTCTAAACTGAACAGCTTCCGTGTTTTACCTTCTAAAAATAATCATTTATGAAGCCGTCAGTATTCAGTGAATGAGTCTCAGTGGTTTTATACATTCTGTGGCTCTACCTGTAATGACATTTATTAGTTACTACATTAAACATAAGTAACTAACATGCATTTTCACTTTCTTCTCAAGGGCTGTTTCACGATTAGCTTAACGGCCGTGAGACTAACATGTCAATAAAACATGAATACTGGCCCCTTGTGTTTCTGGCAGACAGGTTACGAGTAGGCGAAAGAATATAAAACGTTTAAGGCCGTTAACTTGACAAACCCTTAACTAAGCTGGATCCATGGTGCAAGAATATTTTATG